ATCTCAAGGTAGGGATGAGGGACTCCCCAGACATTTCTCTGGTGCTTTTCTGTCTAGGGTAAGCCACGGGGCACTGCCGTTCCAGGGTGGCACACGGCTCGTGCTCATTCCGAGGCTTAACCAGGCAGAAGTGGCCTAGGTTCCAGTCTGGCTGTGACCCACTCACATCTAGAGTCCAGTACATACACTCCCAAGGGGCCGGGCTGGGGACAGAAACTGCTGGTGATCTATACATTTTCAGATGTGCTTTATAAATGTGTACATTTTCCTAAAATAAAAATATAAAGTGGTCATTCAGTCACAGACAAAAGATAAAGGAAATGTGTTGAGTCTGCAGTAGGGCTTTCATGAGGTGTTAACGTTTCCCTTTCCTTCCTCCCCTTTCTAGTCACCCTTCTAGACTTCAGTCCACAGACAACCTGCTCCCCATGTCCCCTGAGGAGTTTGATGAGGTGTCCCGGATAGTGGGCAGTGTGGAATTCGACACTATGGTAAGTACCATTGCAGGGGTGTTCCCAGACCTGGGTAAGCGGGTGCCCTCTGAGGCAGGGTGGGCACTGCAGCAGATCCAGGGACTTTCCTCAAGAAGGATTCCTCTGGCAGAGCCAAAGAAAGGGCATTTTTCAGATGAGCTGGGACAAGGAAAAGCCTGCTGTGCTTCGACAAGGTACATCATCAGCAAAATGTTTATGCTTGGCATCCTCCAAAAAAATAGGTGACATTTCAAATACTTAAGTTTCCCCTTCTGCCTTTGAAGTACAAAAGTTCTGTCCTTGTAGAATTTCACCTATTAAGGAACTAATATTTTTCTGATAAAATGTTTTCTTTCTGCCTATAGCCTTACCACAGTGACATCCTTAGGAAAGGGTGTTATTTTTAGGGACTAATGCTGGGTAGTTGCAGTAATTACAGATTTACACTTAGCAAGCAGCCCTGAAAGGGCTTTCTCTGCTTCCTATTTAAGAAGGAATTTGTGCTGCTAACTCCTGAAGCTATGAAAGGCCAGCCCAGAAAAAAAACAGCCCAGGGGGTGAAAGAGTTAGTGAGTTTCATGATAGAAATAGGAACATGATTGTTTCCAAAAGAGGTGATCTTCCTCTGGGAGAATATTTTTCAATATATCAAACAGTATTGTTTGCCTTTCAGCCTGAAATCCTTCCTCTTAAAGATTTGTTTGGTTGGCTGGGTTTTTGCTGATGCTGTTTAATTTTAAGCTCTTTTTTTGCATGGAGCTATTCCAGTTCATTTTTCAAAGTTGGTTTAGTGCTTTAAAAAAAAAAACAACAACAACACCTCTCTGAGTCTCTGCTGGCTTTTCTTCATCATTTTGTACCTGGTGCCTGGCAAAAATAGGTTCTCAAAAATGAGACAGGAAGTCAGGGAGGGAGAGGGAAAAGAGGGGGCGAGGCGTCTCTTGCAAACCATCATGAATTCAGGGAGTGTGTTCATGCGACCTCAGTAATACCTGATCAGCGTCACATTTCTTAAGGGTAAGAAGGCCTTTTCCCTCCACTTTAGGAGGGCTAAAATCTGTAGAGACTGTACTTTCTTACACTTTCCTGATTGTTGAGGATAAAAAAGCCATTTAGAAAAATGCTTAGCTAGTATGACAGCAAAATAGTTTGGTCTGTGCAAAATGAGCCTTTTCTCTGTGTAAGGTAGCATCCCAACACTCCTCTAAAAAGTGCTTTATAAGCCTGACACAACAACGCAGTACTCTTAAAGTCCAATTTAGAAAATATAAGCTATATAGATAGAGCCAAAAAGCAGGGTGATCCCCTTTTACACCTCTTTTGTTCCTGAGCAAGGTCCCTCAGCCGCATCACTATTGATGGGTGGCACTTACTAAGCACCTCCCCCATCCCAAGCACTTCCCTATAAAAAGCCTCTAAGTTGGGTGTTATTGTTGTTCTCATCTTGGCAGACATAGAGCAGGGCCCTGTCCCCAGTTACAGAGCTTGACTAAGATCCAGTAGTTAGTCAACAGTAGAACCAACATTGAATCTACCTGGTGTCTCCAGAATGCACGCTCTTGTCCACCATCCTAGAACACCTGCCACAAACAGCCAGACTTGGCTTCATTCAAAATGTGCATCCCATAGAGGCTGTTTGCACAAACTGAGCATTTTATTCTGCTTATTAAGACAAAGGCAGTGTGGCCTCTGGGTGAGAGGCCTGTGATTGGGATTTGGCAGGCAGAGTTCCAACTCTATCATCACCATTATCCCTGTGACCTTGCGAAAAGAAGATGGATTAATTCCGTCCATCTGTGTAAGCAGTAGGACTGCCTCCTGTATGCTCTCAGAATGATACTGTGAGAGCAGTTTAAATACTGCAAATAAATGTCAGGAAATGGTTTGTGGTCTTTGGACATTCCTAAAGCCATTTCATCCCAAACGATATCATTCATTTCATTTGTAGAATAAAGTCAGTCTCTCTGTCTTTATCCCTCTCCCCCACATCACACACATGCACAGACACCATTAAAGACTCCAGGCAGGTCAGTAGATGTACAGAGCTAAAAGAGGCTGTAAGGGAGACACAGCACTGGTTAGGCAAATTCAAATGCAAATTCAAAATAAAAACTGGATGAGTTTTTAAACTGGATTGGCTCCACTGTGGTCTGCTCTGTCCTCAGTCTTGGCCATGACTTCCATTCGGCATCCATGGCTCTGAGATGGAAGCAGCTCTCTCAGAGCTGGCTGACTTCCACCCAGTCTGGAGGTTGCAGCTCTAGGGTGACACCAGGGACTGATGCTCAGTGCAGCCTCTGGGCAAGAGGACCACAAGCTCCTGAGGAAATTATCCAAGACAGCCAAATTACTAGTGTTTTTTGCCACATGACTTGGGTGTTTGTTTAGCCTGGATTTTCTGTATGATACATTTTTCCCTCTGGGCTGTAATACAACCATTCTACTTTCCTAGAGGCCTTTGACCAAAGCTCATAACAACAACAACAAGGAAGAAAAAATGATGATAATTTATTATCTACTATTTTCCTTCTACTGTATAGACAGTTTACATATGCTAATTTAACCCTTTCCATAAACCTATCTGCTAGGTACTATTAGCCAACTTTGACTGAGGACCTTAACATTTAGAGGTTAAGTATTGTGCCCAATCACACAGTGACAAGATTGGAATCTGGGCTTCCTTCTCTCTCTCTCTCTCCCCCACACCCCTAAAGTCTGCCATCTTAACTACAACTTTGTGCTGTTGACCAGGCTGCAGCATAGGGGCAGAACCTTCAGTGTGCTTTTCAATCCAAAATGATTTTCCTAAGACCCCACCAAGTACCATGCACTATTGAGCACTTGAGATTTAGAAAAGCTCTCAAGAGGCTTTACTGTCTAGTGCTCAGTCTTGGTACTACAGGCATTTTGGGATGGAGAATTATGTCCTCTGCATTGTATCTCTGGCTTCTCCCCACTAGATAGATGCCATACACCACCACATCCAGTCATGGCAGTCAGAAACATCTTTAGACATTGCAGGGGACCAAATAGTCTCTGAGAACATCTGATATAAGGCGAAAGACCAGTATAGAAGTCAGGGAGTCAGCGGCAGGACAGTTACTATTCCCTGAGGAGCAATTTCCTGACTCCAAGTTGCCATGTTCAAGGCAACTGGGCAGAAGGCACCAGTAGGGGAGGTGTAGGGGATCTTAATAATTCTACTTCTCTGGCCTGTATTTGAAACATTCATTTTTTTACCTATGAGTGACCTTTAAGGGAAATTCATCATTTCCCTCACATCCCTCTCTCCCTCTGGCATATAACTCAGCATTTCCTCACCCTTGTTTTGCATGAGTGGATTTGCCACATTGCTCTGTCCCCAGACTTGCATAACAGCAGAAAGCTTTATGCAGTCTGGATAGATTCACAAAATTAAGCCGGCAGGCTGTAGAGTAATAATCCATCAGCTTAAGTGATATAAAAGGTCTTGATTAGTCCAGAAAATGGGTAGGTCATGTTGAAGGTCCTCAAATTCATTGGTGCTTATTGCTGTTAGAAGTGTCTTCCTTCCACTACATTCTAGAATAGACAGTGATGTTAAATATCTGAACTTGCCTGTCACAAGATCAATGTGATAAACTTAACCATCTTTTATCTCTTACAGATGAATGCAGTATAAAGCATGAATTTTTCTCATCTTCTCTGGCGACATTTTTCTCTTCCCATCTATGACTCCTTCCTGCTGCTCTATTCCTTCACATCCTATGTTTCTAGGGAAATGAAAGAGAGGACAACAAATTTGCTGCAGCCTATTGATAGCAAGTGGATGTTTCTCTTATTCAGAAACATGTTACTCTGAAGGGCTTCATGCATTTTATTGAAGGTGAAATTGAAAGGCACTCTCCACAGAGTGGATTTTGCAAATGAAAAACATCCAGATGCACCCAAAGCATCAGGACTAGAATGAGAGACCTTTGGGAAAGGTGAGAAGTTCGGTAACAATTCAGCAAATGCTGTGCATGAAATCAGTGCCCAGCTGTTACAGGTTGTTGGATAGATATTGGTTACTTGGGAACTCTTGATGTAGAAAAGGAAAATTTCCATTCTGCTTTAAATATGGCTGAAAGTCTATTGTTTTGCCAATGAAATAGTTCAAAGCCAAGTTTATGTAAAATTATATATCAATACTTTATCAAAAGTAGCCTTCTTGCATCTGGGTAGGAGAAAAAGAAGTTGTGCTCTTCATTTTAATTATATCTTCCACACTGGCCATTTAAAACTGGAGAAAAATTCTTTTTTTCTAGAAGAGAATTAGCTTTTGTGTTGGTTATGGCTGAACAATATTGGCTGTTATCAATAGAAGGAAGTACATTTTCTAAATTCATAAGTAGAGTTTTCTGTTTAATATTTAATATCCAGAGCTTAGTGTGTTTCACCTTCATCTTGGTCACTGGTGAATGAAATTGTCTTTGCCCTTCCATGAAGGGAGCCAAGCTCTTAACAATAGCCCCCTTAAGGCAGATCTCCTTATTTTTTAAAACATTGAAATTAATTGCAGACGGAGATAAACCCAGGAATTTAATTCATGTTTCTTAAATGGGTTCATTTGTTTTTACTGTTATTAGCTGGTATTTAGTCTATTAGCCATAAAATTGAGAAAGGAGTAGAAAACGTAGTTACTGACAACTTGAATCATTAACCATAGATAACATGAAAATCAAATTATTTCAGAACTCATGTCCTATGTAACTGCACGGAGAACTGCATATTTTTCACTGATAAATGTGATTTTTCTGACAATTATGTTTGCAAATGGTTCCATTATCTGTCTTGCGGTTTTTCCACATAGTTTTTTGAATGGATGATGTTTTGTGGAATGTACTATTTTTTTGTTTTGTTTTGTCTTGTTTATATGGTCTTTCATTAGTGTGGACACAGAGCAGTGATAAGGGATGAGTCCACAGGGTTCTTCTGAATAACTTTCACAGACCACTTGTCTGCGTGGCTGCTCTCCTCTCTCCATTTCCACCACCACAACTATGTTATTACAGAAATGCTGTGTTATTCTTTGGTGGAGATAAAATTTTCTTGACATCTACTTTATAATTAAAGCTAAAGTATATATATTACATTAAATATAATATGCACAGTATTTTTTATTTTTCTTATTACTACACAAATTGAGGCCTCTTCTCATTTTTTACATAGGATAGCATGAACCTGGCTGAGTTTTGGTTGAATCTTCAAACTGAAAAAATCAAGAAACATGACCACATTTTTGTGAATATTGTCCCTAATTCCTAGGATTTAACTACTTGTTAAACTTTTGTCCTTTAAGAATGATTGGCATGGTTTCATTTTACTGTACCAGCCAATCTTTAGTATAAGGTTTTAATAATGCTGGCATTATGAACTGGTTTAATATTTACCTCATTTACGTATCAGTCCTTGTTTTACAATAAGATTAATAACACTACTTTCTTAAATGTTCTCCTTACTCACCATGCTTGTAACCAGAATTTAAATGGCAGATTAAGATAGGTCAGTGGAAGAGATCAATTTGTAGTCTCATTTAATTGACCATTCTAAAATATTGCTGAGCAGATCATGGGTTAAGCTATGTTTGTGTTTTAAGTATATCTTGGATAGTGTTTATATGACACTTGTAAATTTGGTGTTTTATAAGCATAAAACATATATGTACCACTTAGGATAAATTTATTATTTTCAAGAAAAGAGAATTATTTTCAGAGATGGCATTAAATGAGCAAGATGTTTTTACTGCCTACAAACTAAAGTGGAATATGAAGGCAGGTCTTAATGAACAAAATAGTCCTCTGTCACATCTGACTGCTCCAGGGAAAAAGCTAGAAAGTGTTTTGGAAATTCTTGTACCTAGTCTTTGAACTCAGATATTGTTCCCCAAGAAAGGGGTATTTATTCAAGTGGCATCTTTTGGTTGGCTAAGATTCATTAATTTATTAATTCGTCAAGTATGTATTCAGTATTTGTCATGAGCCAGGCTCTAGTCTAGATGTTTGGGAAATATTGGTGAATAAAACCAATCAAACCTAAGATGTTCTAGGATCTGGATCATATAACCTTCCTATCTCACTAGGATCTGAGCTGGACCTTCTATAATCTAATAAATCACATCCACTCCATACATAACTATAAAATTCCCCTTTCTGCAAAAGCTTTTTTTCGAGTGCCACCTTTTAACATACATAGGGGGCTTCCTTGAACCATCCAGTCTATGATTTACGAATTTACTCATTTTACTATGAAGATTAACCCAACCCCTAAAATAGCCACACAAAAATAAAATGATCTTGTTATACAACAACAAATATAAAGTTTCTCCCTTGGGATTATCTGTACATCTGCACTGATAGGTGTAGGTGAAGTTGACTATATGTTACAGAGCTTAACTTTATAGCAGCTATGCCTGACCTTAAAATTCCACAGAGGAGAAGCCTTAGCTGATGTGAATTATTTAATATAAATAAGTTTAAATGCAAATTCTGTCCATAGTCAGAAGGACCTTATTATAGGATATAGGAAAAGAGTATGGGACTAAGAGTTCTGTATCATGAGCCTTTCTTGAGTCCCAACTTCATCAATAAAAGAATGGGTTAGTTTAGAGAATTTCTGATGTCTCCTGCATTTCTAAAATATCAATAATGAAGATGATACAATACCGTGGCTTCTATAGCCAAGCAATTTAGTCTGTGATAAATGACTTTGATAGATGAAAATGTATTGGCCCTGGTGCTCATGTCTACCATGAACCAGACACAAACCTTAAACCTGAAGGGAAAGAATGCTCCAAGGACCAGGGTTTCTGGCACTGGAAGTGAATGCCATTCCCACATATAACAAATTAGGCGGGAGCTTAGCTTTGCCATCTGGTCCAACTCAGATCCTAGTGTGGTAGCACCAGGTTCAACTCTCCAAGTAGACTAAGGTTTTATAAATAAAAATAACCTGTCCTCTCATTCAAGAATATGTTCAATGGTTCAGTTCAACAAGTATTTACTGAGCACTTTGTAATAATGAAAGGGTAGTGTTAAATTCTAGAGGATAGAATGTGCTTCCCCATCCCCACATCTTTGAGGATGAACTCCTTATAGGATTCTTAACTTGGTCATTGTGGTAGCCCCACCTGACACCATGCATACTACCTGGTTAATAGTAGGCATTAGCAATGGATCTGACCAACTAGACATGATCCCTACACTCAGTGAAGTGTTCAACCCAGGGTCATAAGAGAAAAACCTTAGTTGTTTTAAGAAAATCCATTTTCACGCTTTTTTATCATACATATATTTATTATGCTGTAAAAAGCAACACTATCTGATTTCATTTAAAATAAAATGTTTCCCAATTTCAGAATACTTAACAATTTATAGTTTGAAGATTAGATCCACTTTGGGAGATGTTGAAAGCAAATACATTCATAGCTGTGTAATCTCCAGGAAGAATCCAAATCCGTTAACAGCTCATTCATTTCCCTGCCAGACAGACCACAGAAGCAAAAGCGAATCCAACTCGGCAGCTACAGGCAGTGTGGGGCAGCAGTGGGGACAGCATATCACCAAAGATGAGACCATTAGAACCAAGACCAATAAAAACGACAATGTATACAAAGCTTTATATTAACACGACCATCCAAAGCTCCCAGGATACAGAAAAAGCACATACGATCCTAAAGCTACAACAAAAAGATCTTTGGAGTTTACTGATGGCAGCAGTAAACAAGCATTCAACAAGCATTTAAATAAAATGTACTCATTATTACCAGCCAGTAGCAAACAGCCAGAGCACCTGGCACAAAGTCTTAGATAACATCTTGGGGAAATAATGGCACACTTAACTAAACCACAAAGAATTTTACAAAGCAGTTTGGATCTGAGAAAAGAAGAAAACTCTCTTTGTTCCCAAATAATAGTTAGAACTTCATTATTAGATAAAAGCCTCAAAATCACTCATTGGTAATCTTAAACCACACAACTGAACCACCTTAATGTTTCATTTTAATCACAGACAGCAAGCTGCTATTTAGGCAGTTATCCTTGTTGATTTCAATTAAAATATGTCTACCCCAATACCTGTGGGGATAATGCTGCTCCTGTACAGCGTCTTGCAAATACAACCTGTTTGAACGGCTTGATAAGATCCATGGGGCAGGAACACAGTGGTGCCCACCTTCCTTTCTCCCCACAGATGCTGGAACACAGGAGCCGCCTTTGTGCCTGAGCAGCTAAGGAACACTGGCGTGGTTTCACCAAGGGAGGTGCCATCTAGGGATTGGGAGGGCAGTGGCAAAAGCTACTGACTTAGACTAAAAGCAAAAGTCAAAGCACCAGGGGACTGCTGGAGTGAGTAACAGTGCCATTGGGCATAATAAAGCTTGGAAGCAGCAGTCTATGCTGATTGGGAGGCGGGGGGGGGGGGGAATTGCCACATTAATGTGGTAACAACTAGCATTCATGTAGTTGAGAATTCTGCTCATTTCACTAAACAGCTTCAAACAAGTCCATGTATACACATGTATGGACAGTATGCTTAATGTCAGAAATCCTCACTGACATACCTCTTTATTTCTTTGAGGTTATGATAAGATACAATGTATGTGCATTTACTAGAAAATTTTATTCTTCAGTTCTGAAGCCCCTTTTACCTACTTTCTAAATGAATCACGAATTAACTCCCTAAGACAAAATGATGGGTCTCAATTTAAAATGGATTGGCTTTTTCTCATTATTGAACTATAGAACCCACAAAAAAATTATACGGTAGAGAATGAGAAAAAAATCGGGAGTGATCCAGTGGTCTTCCCGAAGAGGACAAATATCTTGATGCAGACTTTTAATGGCAGATTTAAAAACAAATGTTATTTGTAGCAGTTCCCTTACAGTCAGAATAACTTTGGTAGCTTAGAGCATTTCTGAATTTGTCTTTGTCTAGGAGCTGAAAAATAACTTTTTAAAGAGCTGTAGCGGCACATGCCTTTGTTTTTTTCAGAACAAATGAATTGGACTAATTTATCCTTAGTAATTTGTTTCTGGTTCGTCCTCTATACAAATGGCAAAGTACTAGCTCTGATGCCAGAAATGTGAGGCATTTTCTGACTTACTGTGGAAACATGAAAACTGCATAGTGTGCCAGCACTCACTTTCCCAGCCAGAGGGAAGAGGCAGACAGCTAAAGTCTGAGAAGAGAGGCTGGACTAAGGGGATATCAAAAAAGAAAAAATGTTCAAAAGTATTATAACTATATTCACACATATGTTTTGGTCACCAAACATATCTTAAACAGATTCCCTGATACAGTCTAATCAGAATTGGCCTATCCTACTAACAGCTGTTAACTATTTTAGAGTCACATCATGAAGCGAGGGTGATGGGAGACATTTTAAACACTCAACCATATTGTTGCATAATTGTTTTTCAACACTCAAAACTAAATCTATATTTGAAGTCTTCAAAGTCACACTGTTTGCTTCTGAAGACAGCCTTGACCCCTTTGGACAGACTGTACAACAGAGCTTAATGTATAAGTGTGTATCAGCAAATCATCACCATGAATTGAAAGTTCACAAAACACACAAATGAATCATGAAGACCACACACTTAAGCTAGCATTGGTAACTATTTCTTTTACATCAAATTATACAGTGCACGAGGTAAATATTGCTCACATTATGGAGGGAGATTGTTTTATTTCTATTTTTTCCCAAAGAGATCAGATTTGTCCTGTGCGCACAATGAAGAAAACTCCGGTAACACTGAAATGACAAATGTAAAATATACTTCACTACCAGATAGAAATACACATGTTCTTCATAATCATTTTCCACAATTAAATAGGTAAGTGATTTAAATCTTGGGATTTAAGACCATTATAACAATCCATCAAGATTCTTATGGACTGTTTGGTTTTCTTTTCCATTGTCGGAGTCTCCTTGAGGTGTGTACTGGACTTGGTATTCTTGGAGGATTTTGAATACATCATGGTGTCCAAAGTGCAGTGCTTCATCCATGGGAGTGTTATTCCACCTAAACAAGTGGCACAGTATGGACAGGGTCATTAGGTAATTTCTGCATGAAGATGATCATCCAACATCCCTAGGTTTTAATATAGGTTAAACAGCCACCCAGGTTTAATCACTTTAGCAATATTATAAGTAAAAATCGTTAGCAGAAATGCAGAAAGGAATTTATAATTTAAAAACTGATCTCACAGACAATTTGGGATATGAGGATGAAGAGAAAAATATCTCTATGAGAGGAACCGGTTTACATATCCAAGTGCTTGTGGAGGGACCTTTATAAGGAAAGTCCTAGTTTTGACAGACAAAATAGACACCTCAAAGGTTCCTGAAAAGTTCAAAGGATTTATTTTTAAATAAATGTTCCAGTCAATTCAAACATCACAATAAATATCAGAAGTCTAGAAATAACCATAACTCTATGAGGGCTTAACCATGTATTGAAGGAACAAGACTGACCCAGAGAAAGTGACATTTCCATCACCTTCAGTAGGATGGGAAGTGTGGGCTCACCTACACCTCTACCCAAACAGAAGACTCAGTTTCCCTTCCTTATTAAGTGTGCTGGGGCTGTGCTGTTAAGAGCAAGGTAGTTAAAGATTCCAGGATATGAAGAAATGAAGAAGGGATAGCACTGCCTAATCGGCAGAGACAGCACTGTGAAGCTCACACCGCAGCACAGGGCAGGGATGAGTCTGAGTTCCAGATACTGCACAAGTGAGGAGGCCCTCTCCTTCCCTCTCTACTTGTGTCAAGAACTTCTCAGAGGCTGCCAGTGTCCTGCTCTGTGGGCTCATGGGCCACTCTCTCCACTCTGCTTCTGTTTCCTTCTTTCCTTTGCTTTATTACTGGTCACATTATGAAACCAAAAGTGTTTAAAACTGTCTCATTTTTAAACATTTTTGGTAACCTGTTCTTAAATATTTTAAAATACTTTTTTAGTTATACATGGACATAATATCTTTATTTTGTTTATTTATTTTTATGTGGTGCTGAGGATTGAACCCAGTGCCTCATACATGTGAGCACTCACTTTCCCAGCCAGAGGGAAAGCCACTGAGCCACAACCCCAGCCCTGTTCTTAATTTTTTAAATCAGGTAAGTAACACTTTACAAGTATCTTTTGTGTTTCTCAAAAAACAGCTGGACTAATGGTTGTTTACTTCTGTACAGGCCTTCCTTAGTTGAGGGAGATAGTGGCTCTACAGAGGGACTTTTCAGTCATCTTCAACAGCATGTGATTATGTGGGCTTTCTAAGAATTGAATGCCACCATAAGTTACCTTTTTATAACTCTTTTCCCATGAAACAATGAAGAATAATCAACTTCAAAGAATATGCTAATTTCACTCAAGCCTAGTTTATAATTTTAGATGATATTGATTCTTAGGAAATGAAGAAAAATAATTGTTTTGGGTCTATAGCTTCCATCCTAAAATCTGTTAGTTTTTGAGGGGTGGGGTTAGGCTGAATAGTTAACTTAGCTAACTTGCCCCTCAAGACGGGCTCTTTTACTTCTGCATTCTTAGAGGCCAACTTGCGGAGGGGTTCAAATACATAAAAACACAGTAAATATTTCTAGCATATACTAGTGTTTACTAGGAATTATAAACACAGGGGAAATATTCTTTTGGTTTCTTCCTCTATAAAGAGCTGAGAAGGGTATTACATTTGGGGATAAATGGGAGAATTGTCACCCTAACTTGAGATTTTGGTATACTGCCATAAATAGTCCTCGTGTTATTTAAATAATTATAGGAGTAAAGTTAGATAAGCAGATGTGTTACCACACTCGCACACTGTTCAGACACTAACATAACTTCTCATTTCTTACAAGCTGAACCAATGAGATCCAGGCCCTAATTTTTTAAAAGTAGATATAGCTTAGTAAACACATTTAATACCTAGAGAGTAATCAACTTGCTCTAAACTTAATACAGTAACTCCCATTCCTCAGACATCAAATCCACAGTCCTTATAGATAGCAAAACTCTAAATCAAATATTTCTTACTCATGTTATTCTAACCCTTTATTCTCAATACTCACTGACTCATCTGCTCTACTCCAATAAATAACATCAAGTATCGTGAGTGCACAGTTTACTATACATGGTCATGCCCTGGGCTCTTATCCCTGCATTGCTCACTTTGTGGACAGCATTTGCCACAGGAAGGATAACAGTTTGCCATGTGGACCAGGAGGGAGAGGAAAGGACCAGAAAACATCCCAGGAAAATTCTTCCTACTATAGATTGAACGCTGATCTTTCCCCCAAAATCATTGGCTAGAATTCAACTTCCACAAAGCCTGCTAAAGCTTTCTACCCAAATCTCAGACTTTCAGCAAACTCCAATGTATTCATTATAGAGTTCTTTTTCAGAAGCTTTCTTACACATTCTTCATATGCCCCTCAAGATGGGCTCTTTTACTTCTGCATTCTTATATGTTTATCCTGTCTCCCCTGTGTAGTTAAAAGCCCTCTGAGGACAGAATTTCTATTTTCTCTTTCCAAACACAAAGAACTTTCTTCTTCATGTAGTGTGTGGACTGATAGTCAAGGCTGAAAATTTCTAAGAATACCATTCTTAGATAAGAAATAGGATATGGGAGATCAGATAACCCATCTAGCAGAAACAAGGTTTTGTTTGTTGCCTCTGGAAAAACACCACAGCAGATTCAAATGCCTTAGTGGCTTTACATATACCATCACTTAAATACTGTAGTCCTGTATAATCAAATACTGACTTGCCCATTATGGTAAAAGGTATGTAAGTGCTTACCTGTCCTTGGGGAAGGGATTTACTTTGCAAGCTTCCAGCAAAAATTTAACGACTTCAACATGACCTACCCCCCCCCCAAAAAAAAAAACAGATATTAGTATTGAGTAGAAGTTAACTCTGGGGAAAATAATAATAAATGACTGGCTTATGTATTACCCTCTGCAGCAGCTACATGAAGTGCTGTTCTGGAATCATAATCCCGCTGTTCCATATCCATGGCTGACAAAGCAAATCTGAAAATGCATAAGCATAGCTATTCAGTACATATAAAACAAATTCAGTTCACACTGTAACATTCACTCTATAAATTTAACCTCAGGGCCATCCTTTGCCAGGCTCATTAATGTTAACTAGAGTCCCTGTTCACTCAGTACCCAGGTGTCCTGGGAAATGCCACCTCACCTTGTCCTTATCTTTGCTATTTGGGGCTAGGATGAAATATTAACCATCTCTTACAGAATTAAGTTTTATCACGCTATTATTCAAATTCCAGAAGAAAGACACACCTATACTAAATTTTATGTCTCAACAGGGCAAGAAGCTAATAGTAAAGTTGTATGTCTTCACAGAGACTCCCATTCTTTAATCTGATACTTTACATTCTACAATTTATGAGTACTGACTGGACTTTGAAACAAATGTAGGAATTAAGCCTATACATCTTTCCATTTAAAGCTCAGTTGCAACTGTATACAAGAGACTTTATATTAAGTATTTGGTAGTAGATGGCCTTTCCGATCCTGATGATTTACAGGACACCAGATTCCCCATCTTTGTCCCATCCCCCCACCAGAGATGGGGAGTGAATGTGGAATGAGGAGATACTGTCCAATAATGGTAAACCCCTAATATTAATTAGCCAGGTTAGTTGGATAAGTTACCATTTGGGAATGCAGATATCTAGGCTTTTCTAAAAGGTGGAAAAGAACGAGACTGGGCTGCAGGCCTAAAGCAATGAACATGGGGGTTTAATAAAAATTTTGTTTGGGTTGTTTTCATTAGAGGGAAATGGAAGTGAGACCTTAGCCTTGATGCTAGGCTGCTAACCTGGCGTCAACTTCACAATAATGCAAAACCACATGCTAATCCACCTAGACAACATACCTTCGAAGGGCAGATACATCTCCAGTGTATGCAGCAAACAAAAGGTTTATCACTGACTTTACCTGTGAAGAAAAGAAAGTTCAGACACTCACAGGAAAAGACAAACCCACAGTGTTCAACTGTCACTGGTTATTTCCATGTGCTTGGAATACTTCAGCTGGATCATTCGCAAAAGGTTATCGAGTACACTTCTATAACCAAAAGTACACATGTGTGGTATTTGTTTCTTTTAACAGTATTATGAAGGAAGATTCAATAATAAAGATAAGGTTCATGAGGGAAGGAATGGAATGATACCAGTTGGCACAAGAGTGGAAGCTCACAATCTGCTATTTGGGGCAACTGAAAATGCTTTAGCACTCTTCTCATTTAGCATGTCTCAGTTCTGTGAGCAAGTTTGTATACTGATAAAAGTCATCACATGATTAAAAACTAAATCATGCTATTTTAAGTATATAATCCCTGCCAGCAATAACATTCCTCTCCACTAACTGGATTCTTTGCAAATCTTCAAAGACAAAACTCAGTATTCATCATCTTAAACTTAGGAATAGGGCTGTACTTCACTGGAGTTTTTGTTTCCCTGCCCATCAGGTACAAATTAGAGCATTTAGAGAACCCATAAAACTGCTTAAAAGGTGGATCAACTCAGCAATGTTGATGAAAAACTACACTACTGATCATACAATTTGTTGGTAAATATTTTATAAATTTCCAGGTTGTCTTGTGCTTTATAACCTCAACATTCGTATTGATGACCCAACTAACATTAGACACAATGGTAGGAAATGAAAACTCAATGGGAGGGATGGAAAGTAACCTAGTTCTCCACAAACAACCTAGTTCTGGAGCTGTGCTTCAAGATCTTAAACTGGACATTCTGTTTGTGTTATGGCCTCCCACAACCTGTAAATTTTTAAAAACTAACAAACTGACCAGTATTTTCTAAGCCTGTTTTGTAGCAAAACTAGTCTGCAAGATGCTCCATGAAAATAAGGGTCCTGTGATCAGATATATCCTTAAAATATTAAATCTCCTTGTGAGAATCATGAACATATGAGAGGCCTTGCAGAGTTCTGAATACAGGAACTACCTGAGCTGTATACCTCCAAAATAACACTACCAGCCATTAGTGTTGGTATCCTTTAAAAAGCTAATACTCCTTCAGTCCATTAACTTCCCTTCCTGCCATTCTTTACTACTGTTGCCCATCCTGTCCCCTGAAGTCAGTCCCTCTGAACAGTCCAGACAATGTTCTGTATGGAGGTGGGAGAAAGTTACATCCAGAATACTCTTTAATATATAAGCATCCCCCACCATCCCATTTCTAGTCATCTAACTCTTATACCTCAAATTGATACATTTTAGGGAAAGGAGGTAAACATGCACATAGCCTTTTTTAAAGTCTGGGTAACTCTGATATGCTCTTTTGGGTTATGCACCATTTTTTTTTTTTTTTAGGTGCTCTTGGCATCTTTTTTAGTGGTATCGGTTCTAAATCCTTTCTCGGAATTCCCCTTGTGCTCTTTGGCTACAGAATGCTACTTAACTACCAGAGACCATTCATACTTCCCACTGGTTTCTCATTACTAGTTGACAATTATTTTTTCATTAGTTTCCTTTATACTTTATTCAGGTCTTTAACACCAGAGGCCACTCATAAAACAGTGATGACCCTGAATACTTTATTGGGGGAAAAAAACACCTCTCATCTCTCCCCTCATTTTTATGCAGAGTACTTACTTAATACCTATTCTTTTTCCCTCTGTGCCTCAAACCAAAAAGTTATCCATCCTTCCTCACTGCCAAGATCTGCTTCTTTACCGGTTCCTTCACACAGTCTTCCAGACCTCCTAACTGTGCTCCCTTAACACCTTTGTTTCTAGCTTCTCCAACCTCTTTCTTCACTGGTTCCCTTATGTCTGCCTTAATGCAGACACAGCATCCCATTTTGAAAAACTAACACTTGACCCTCTTATTCCCTTTATCAGTGCATATTTTTGCAAGTATTTTATACTTTTGAATTCCCTGAAAATTATCTTCGTATTCACTGTTGCCTCTGAACAGTACTCTAAGAAGTTCCAGCAGCTTCCTAAGTCCTGATTCCTCTTGTCCTCCTCACATTCCCCACTCTCTCAGGACTTTTCTCCCAAGACACTGCTCCTCCTGCAGGCTCCTTTGCACATCCCCTGCCCACTTTCCACTGTCTAATTATACTTCAAGTCAGTCTCCATCTTTCTTGGTTTTCAACATAACGTCCCTCGAATGTTTCATATGTACCTCTGGGCAGAATGACTTTTCAATCTAGATCTTTAATCACTGTACCTAAACACCAACCCTATAGCTCTACTTGATTGCCACACTGAAACTTCAAACTCAAAAACAGTAACAATATTGACAGCTGCCCACTCTCACTCCAGAAGTCTGCATCTACCTGTCTACTTGACATTACCTTCAGGTATTTCAGGGGTGTCTCAGAACTTGATTTGTTTTGCCTTCCCTGACTTCCAGTCAGCTCTTCCAGAATCTCCCATTTAGGGATGACACTGTAATTCATGCAGTTGCTCATTCTAATGCCCCAGAAGTCCCCCAAGACTGCTGCATTTAAGTCCTCCACAGCCATTTAAGTCCTACCCAGCCAGCTTCTTCTCACCAAGATATCCAGGGAAGAAGGAAGCCTTCTTCACTCAGAGATAAGGAGCAGATCTGCTTCTGCCCAGAAACAATTACTAATTCACACAAGTCCACCACACAGACCCTGAGAATACTCCTCGTGTTCCTTCTCTCATAACCACATCTAGCTCATCAACAAATCCTCCCACCACTTCTCACTACCTCTCTCTACTGCTGTAGGTCTATCTGAGCTACAAGCTTGCTTCACCTAGAGGGATGGGACAGTCTCCCAACTGTTCCTCCTATTTAACTGCTAACATAGGAATCTCATGAAAACATCGAGGTACTTGCTGTGACTTTCTATCAGACCAAGAATCAAATTCCAACTCTCAAGCATGGCTTGCATATCCAAATGCTCTGCTCCCCAGTTACACTGCACATCTGGTTCCCTACCACTTCTTCTTGCTGGGTTTCAGGTCCTCAGCACATAGGTGGTATCAAATCTCCCAAAGTATCAAATCCCTCCATTCAGGTTTTATCTAATGTTATCCTGTAGACTGAAACACCCGCTTTCCATCACTCCTTATCCCTTACTTTGTTAACTCTCTCCATGGAAATTGTCACATAAATATTCTCTCTTGTTCATTAAATATAAGCTCTTATCTTTCTCATTAAATATATGCTCCATGTGGGCAGAGATTGTCTATTCTTTCTCTACCGTAATCCTAGTGCCTTCTACATGTAATGCATGACCATTAAATATCTATAGACTAATTAAGTGAATATTCTCTCCCAAAGTATCAAATATTCAGTTTGTTGCCACCTTTTGGGTATTAAGAATATAATCATCAATCACTTCAACTTCTCCATCTTCACGTATTACATTACCAGATTTATTCAATCCTTCTACCTGATGCCTCTGCTTCTCTAATCCTTCCACTTCCCAAAAGCTTTCCACATATTTCTAATCATCTTCTCAAAGCATTGCTTTGATCACAGAAGGTTTCTAAGTAGGGGAGCGTCAAGAAAACTCAAAATCATTTGTGACACAATTTAAATTCTTTAGTCTTGCATTCAAGTTTCTTCAGGCTAATTTTTTTTCTCTTAACCTTGACAGAGTAAAATAGGTCTTACTGCCCTTGTTGTGTCTTGATGTCTGCACTCTTCTCTCCCTTTAAAAACTCCCAGATTCCAAATTCTTACCTACCCTCCAAGGCTAGCATGAAATGCCCTTTCTTGCTGCCACACCTCCCCAGGCCAAATCATCCCAGCATTCATTTTCCATATAGCTTATTGCCAGTTGCCCACACAGTGCCCTAACAGCACATGTCAGGGTAGAGTCATCAGTTAGACACTCCTGTCCCACCACAACCCTGAATATAACTTCTGCCCCTTTTAAGCCAGATAGTCATGCTATTCCCCGAAAGCATCCTTTCTCTCCTCATTTCTCAATGAAATGTTATTCTTATCCCAACTCTGTGAATGCTAATCTCTTAAATCAGAAGTAATTTCCTTTGATAGGAATGTTAATTAGTACAACCATCATGGAAAACAGTACAGAGGGGGAAGAAAAACAGTAAGGAGGTGACTCAATATTTTAAAAATAGAACTACCACAGAATCCAGCTACACCACTCCTGGGTATATATCCAAAGGAAATGAAATAGGCATACAAAAGAGACACCTGCACACCAGTGTTTATTGTGACACTATTTACAATGGCCAAAATATGGGATTGGTCTAGGTGCTCATCCACAGATGAATAGATAGAGAGAAAATGGTACATATACACAATGAAGTATTATTCAGAGTATCATCAGTCTTCATAAGGAAGAATAAAATCCTGTTGTTTGTAGGAAAAGGAATGGAACCGGAAGTCATCAAGCTAAGTGAAAAAAGCTAGACACAGAAAGACAAGTATCTCGTGTTTTCTCTTGTATAGGGGTAAGGGGGAGAACTGAAAGTAGAAGAGGGACTATTAAGGACAAGGAAGGAGGCCAGGGAAAGGAAGAGGAGGATGAGAGAAGTTAAAATTGGGGCAGGTAGACCTGATCAATACACAATATATGCATGTATAGAACTGTCATAATGAAATTGTACAGTAATTGTACAATTAATGTGTTAATATAAAAATAATATAATCTTCTCCCACATTTGCCATACTACATCACAAATGACCATGTGGGACATTTACTTGTGTACATTATTAATTACTCATAGTTCTCCTTAAAATATGTTTGCTCTTCTAAGCAATAAATCCTCATTTATTTCAGTGACTGTATATATGAACTACGTTTCTTTTTAAATTCTGAATTTGGACCAAACTACTTTGAAGAGATATTACATATATAAGCTTAGTCAATTATTCAATGTTTTAAAAGTTCTAAAAGAATGTTTCTTATAAATAAAGTCCATTGAAGGATTATTTTAGAATATAATTAGTTTATTCA